AAATAAATTCATTCAATTCCAGATAAAGAAACAATTCAATTGGTAATTTCTATTCATGTTAAATTAATTAAAATGAATGTGATCTGCATAGTCACAAATTTTCCCGGTAAGTTTTAAGAGTTTAAGGCACCAGTTTTTTGTTTTGTTTTGTTTTGTTTTGTAAACCTATAAGGAAACAACAAACATACTTACCAACTCTTCCTTTCTTGTGAATATGACCAGGCATGATACCAATTTTGCATTCTCCAGGCTGAAAATAAATCACAGTTTCAGAGAAGGAAAAAAATAAAATTCAGAAATCATATATACTTTGAACTGATAAAAGGCTGGTTAGCTTCCTGAGAGGCTCATGCCAGGCTTATTTTTATTTTTCACTCACATTGATGACTCCAGGGCAGTTTGGCCCAATCAGCCTCGTCTTTCCCTGGCGCAGCAGTGCATGCTTAACCCGCACCATGTCCTGCTGTGGGATACCTTCAGTAATGCACACAACCAAGGACATTTCTGCCTCAAGAGCTTCATTAATTGCAGCAGCAGCAAAAGGAGGAGGGACATAAATGACAGATGCTGTTGCTCCTGTCTTCTCTTTGGCCTGAAATATTAATCATGAAGCATTTTATTTATTGGTCAAGTCATAATCACTATAAAATAAATTCACTGTTAAGATTTTAAGAATGTCTTGGAGCCAGGAAAGGATATCAACAGGAGACAGTACTTGTCTTCATTCTTCCCATGCCCACACTCAAGTTCACTATGCTGTCCTATTCTATTCCAAACACACACTAAATTGTCAAGGATTTCATTTTCCTTGCATCAACAATGAATGTCCATGAAAGCAGCAGTCAAGAAATCAAACAACATGCACCTATGAGCTCAAGGCCATGGTCATGGGGGACATCAAGCTCAACTGGCATAACATACCACACAAAAACATTGTTCTACATCCTAGTTTGGGGAGTAGCAACTGCCATCTTAAAAGCTTACAAGCGGCCATCTAAGATGCAACAATTGGTCTCTCCTTGTCCAGAGCAAAGAATAAAGAAAACCAAAGATTCATAGAAATAATTAATCCAAGGTACTAGTGGACCATACGAACCTCAGCCTACATGACCCTGAGACCAGAAGAACTAGATGGTGCTTGGGTACCACTGTTAACCACTTGGAAAGGGATCAGTGCAGGAGATCCTGGATAGAGTGGGAGAAAAATGTGGAACAAAACTCAGTATCATAAATAAGATTAGGCTTATGGTTCTGATAGAGACTGGTGAAATCCTTGACCATGGTCCTGAGCCCACAGGTGCATGCCCCTACTCACTCTTCAGGCTTGCAACTGAACTCACTCCCATGGCTTCCAGCCAAACAACAGATAGATTTTCAAGATGAACATTTACGCCAGATAGGTACGCTCCTTAGAACAATCAACCATGGGAGATAAGAAGGGCAGTATTTGCATAGGGAGACAGCTCAGAGGGCAGGAATGCATAGGAAATACGGACACAAGGAAAAAGTAACTACAGAGAGAAGTGGGAAGAGAGCTGTTACATTATGGGGATAGTAATCAATGTCATGAAATATAACATGTATGAACTATTATATAGAAAATGAATTTGCTTTGTAAACTTTTGCCCAAATCACAATAAAAAATAAAACAAAATAAAAATCAACCAACACATTGCACTGGGCAAATCTGCTGCAAAAGACTCTTTAAATTGTTAAAGAGCAAAGATGTCACTTTGAAGACTAAGGTGAACTTGCCCCAAGCCATGGTATTTTTAATCACCTAATATGCATGTGAAAGCTGGACAATGAATAAAGAAGACAGAAGAATTGATGCCTTTGAATTATGGTGCTGGCAAAGAATACTGAATACACCATGGACTGTCAAAAAAATGACAAATCTGTCTTGGAAGAAGTACAGCCGGAATGCTCCTTAGAAGCAAGGATAGCGAGACTTGTCTCTCATATTTCGGTCATGTTATCAAGAGGGACCATTCTTGGGAGAAAGAGATCATGCTTGATGAAGTAGAGGGTCAGTGAAAAAGAGGAAGACCCTCAACAAGAAGGAGAGACACAGTGGCTGCAACAATGGGTTCGAGCATAACAACAATTTGAGGATGGCACAGGACCAGGTAGTGTACTTCATTCTACTGTACACAGAGTCATTATGAATCAGAACCAACTCAACGGCCTTTAACAACATAAAGTATCAAAGACCTTATACCTCCCCTGGACAACAGAGCTCCCAAGCCCTCTAAACTCAGCTTTCAAATAACTGTTTAAAAACATACACTTAGTAAATCATATGAAGAGACAGCAAAAATGAAGTGTTTTTTTCCTGACTGACATTTTACTTTAAATCTATGTTTATTAGAAATAAATAAATTTAACTGAAATGCACATGAATAAATGTCCATAGAGTAAGAATACAAGCCAAATAAGCATTAGGTTCTACTGCTACATTACCTCTCATCATCAGGCAAAGCACTTGGAGACCATCTAAAATCTGACCACTGTTCTCTCTGTGGACATGAGCCTCCATTAGGTCTTTCATAGTCTCCACATATATCAATACAGATGTATCCTTCTACCCATATCGGTGCATGATCAGGTCTCTCCTACTACAACCTAAGCTCCGTTAAGACACAGACTATCTGTGATCTCTGACTCTCCAAGAGCATCAGCAGCATCTATTCTGTAAAAGGGCTCACTATACGTCTCATTTAGGCTTCACCACAGCCCTGCACACTTATCATCCCTGTTTTACAAATCAATATGCTGAGGACAAGAGATAGGAAATAATTTGCACAAGGTCACAAAGCTAGGAAGTGGCAGAATCAATATACAAACCTAAGTATGTCTGATTTAAAGCCTCAGTTCTTTTCAGTTACAGTAGGCTGCCTCCCTATGAATGTTAAAACTGTAACTTGTTATAACTCAAAACTTTTTTGCAAGGCTCCACCATGGGATTTTATAATGAATACTATGCTACAGAACATAGAGATACAACCAGAAGAGGCAGAAGTAAAAGACGTCTTTGAGAATCATTCCTGAATGATTCCCCACAGCTCCGCAGACTAAAGAGATTTCTCTATTGCATCCCTAATAAAAAGAAGTATCTTGACAGTGAGAGAAGCACAAAGTCAAAAAGATGCTGACAGATGATTCACAAATAATGCATAAGTTAAAAAATAATTTTTCAAAAACTCTGTTCAAAGTAATGGTGGGTAGGATTGGGGGACAAAAGGGATTACTCGTGGTTACCAGGGGTAGGAGAGATGAGGAAAGAGGATGCTTTTATTTGGGGGGCATTGAGTTTACACTAATAGATGGTAGAATATTTTGGAAAAAGATAGCAATAATGGTGGCACAACATGAAAAATGTGATCAATGTCCCTGAGCTGTAAATGTAGAAGTTGTTAGGTTAGTGAATTTCTTGGTGTGTATGTTTTCATCACAATGAAAGTAAAAAAAAAAAAAAAAACAGCTTCTCTCTGTATTTTTTTTTTTTCAATTGTGATTTGGGTGAAGATTTACAGAGCAAATTCATTTTCCATACAGCAGTTCACATATACTTTGTCTCATGTCATTGACCACAGTTTACCACAATGCAACAGCTCCCCTCCCACTTCCACCCCATAGTTACCTCTTCCCAGTGTCCATCCCTCTATACACTCCTGCCCCCTTAGCTGTCTCCCTGTGCATAAGCAGCCCTTCTTTCTCCCATGATTGTTCTCTCCAAGGAGTGTATCTACTTGTTCTCTCTGTATTTTAAGGTCATAAAGACAGCCATGATAAAAGTTAGAGGAAACAAAAAAATTTTAAAAAATTAAAGCAAAAGGACTTTAAATGATCCCTTCACAGAACATATAATTTATAACTTTTTAAAATACAATACATTTAAAACATACACACACACAAACATTATATATATACTCATTCAATTTTCAAGGTTAAAGTAAAATGAAAAATCCAAATTTGACTAATATTTTCTTCCTACAGTTTAGTATTAAACAGTACAAATTAACATTGATTTAAGTTAGTACTCTGGAAAAGAGATTAAATCTATAAATTTGTTCTCAAAATAAACAGTATTTCAAAACATACCTAAAAGTGTGTTTAAAAGGGGGAGAAGGGTAGATTTTTATCATTGACACATCAATCCTAAATATTTATTATTTCCCAGACATTTTTAATAGTCAAGAATGCATACTAGTTTCTTTTAAAATACTCTAACTTTTGTATGTATTCATATAAATGTAGGAAAAAAATAAAATATACACATTGAGTTTAAATTAGCTCTCTATAGAGGCAAAATCTGAGACAGAGAAAACACTATGAAATTTAATTTTATACACCTTTATATCATATGGAAGCTCTGGTGGCATAGTGCTTAAGGCATTTGACTGCTAACCAGAAGGCTGGTGGTTCAAACCCATTAGCCCACTCCTCGGAAGGAAGTTGGGCAATCTACTTCCCTAGAGATACCACCTCAGAAACCCAAGGAGGGGTCACTATGAACTGAATCAACTCTATGGCAATAAGTTTGGTTTTTGGTTTTATATCGTATGAATTTTTACACTAAGCATATATTAGTTCTATGCAAAAGAATTAAAGTTCAGTTTCAAAATCATTTACAAAGTATTATTAAGAAATCAATTATTTAGAAAAAGATTAAATAGGAATCTGTAATTTCTCATTCTGTCCATAATTCCATTTTTTTTGTACAAGCTCACCAGGTTATTTAGAATGCTACTTCACTTATCAGCAGTGAGACAGTGGGCAAAATCCTTAGCTTCTTAGCCCCTGTATCCTTGTCTATAAAATGGGGAGGATAAAAGCACCTATCTCAGAGAGTTAAGGAGTTCTGGTGGTGTAGTGCCTAAGGCATTTGACTGCTAACCAGAAGGCTGGCAGTTCAAACCCACTAGCCACTCCTCAGGAGGAAGGCTGGGCAATCTACTTCCATAGTGATACCGCCTTGGAAATCCAATGAGGGGTCACTATGAGTCAGATGGTAGTGAGATCTAAGCAGGGCAACGTAGAAGGAGCACTTAGCATAGTGCCTGACCTGACACACAATCATATGCAGTAAGAGTTAGGAAGTGGAACCTGACAGGTATACTGCTAACAACCCAGAAAAGTAAAGAGTAAGAAACAAATAAGGCAAAGAGAAGCCAGGCCACAGCATTTCTTCCCTTAATAGCTCCTGTGTGCCTATTAACCAAAATGACACAGGTTGTGGAGAAAGTATCTTTAAATTTGCAGAAAACCATCTGGGGCCTTAAGTTGGATCTCTAGGGTTTTCAAGTAGAGAAGGCACATACACTCCACAAAGATGACACAGGCCAAATTAAACACTGGCCAAATTAGGCCAATGTTTCTGGGAAAAGAGCTGCAATATTTCTCTGAAGCTTTGTAAATCCTGGTATGTGAAGGGATAACACAAAGTAGATACAGATACTCAAGGTCCTACAGTGGAGAAAGTCACTGCAAACAGAAAAGTACCAGCACATCCCTCTTTGTACTGCACATCCAAGAAAAATGACAATAGGGGTTGGAGTGGGGTACAAGAGGGTGAGGGGGTTGGTGACAGTTTAGCAGTCTATCAAGAAAAGCTCAGGCATCTATGTATTGAGAGGTTCTATATTACCAAACAGTTCTGACTTCATAGGACTAAGGTGAACCCACTGGTTATTACTTCAATTCAAATTTCTCTAGGTTACTAGATTTCAAATAGCAAATTATTGCAAAAGGGACTGCATTAAGACCTCTGCCTAAAGTATGCTTACTTTTCTCCTGGTTTTCTTCTCTTACCAAACTCAGTTTCCATTAATTACCTCTTTCACAGTATTAAAGACAGGTAAGTCCAGATGGGTCTTGCCTCCTTTCCCTGGGGTTGTTCCTCCAACTAGTTTGGTGCCATATTCTAATGCCTTTTGGCTATGAAAGGTGCCCTGGGGGAAAAAAAAAAGCACAAGATCTATGAGAAAGGAAGCCTGAAAAAAAGCAAAGTAATTTAGGAAAAGAAAAACAAAAAGGTTAACTCTTTCCCAGAGTATAATAATGACACATAACCAGCATTCTCATCAACTTGGCTTTGAACCTTGAAGCAAAACTCTGTAAAGCCGACATAGCTATATTCCATTTCCAAACCTGGTTGATAATCAGAAACATTCTGGTAATTATTTAAAATAACACTGCCTTTTCAATGTTACTCAACTCTTGATGTCCTCACACTTCTCTTTGTTGTTGTTGTTATGTGCCTTCAAGTCGGACTCGACTCATAGCGACCCCTCCTTGAGTTTCCGAGGCAGTATCACTACGGAAGTAGACTGCCCAACCTTCCTTCCGAGGAGTGGCTGGTGGGTTTGAACCATCAGCCTTCTGGTTAGCAGTCAAGTGCCTTAGGCTACCAGAGCTCCCTTCTCTTTACCCTGTTTCAAAACGATGGTCAATCATACTCAAACAAATACCTTATCTCCCTCTCACTTCAACTTTCACATTTAGTAAATTTACGACCTTGGTTAAATTCAAATCTCTACCTACTCTGAGACTGCACACAGGTGGCCAGTGGTGGCCAGAGGGGGAAAAAAAAAAACTGGTCACACTGAAATGATCACTAATCATGAGTCTTTATTGCTACCCAGCCACCATCCTGTATCTATGTATCCACTCACTCGCCTACCACTTAGTGCAAGGTTTCTCAATATTGGAACTAGTGACATTTGGACAGGTAATTTTTTATGGTGAGAGGTTGTCCTGTGCTTTGTAGAATGTTTAGCAGCAATCCTGACTGTAAAACATGGCCTCTACCCACTAGATGCCAGTAGCACACCAGTTACACTAACCCCAAGTATCTCCTAGTATTGCCGAATATCCCCTGGTGGGTTCTCCAGTTGAGAACCACTGTCCTACATTCACACCTTCTCTTCTCTCCTCAACCTCTAACACTTTCCAGCCCATCCCTACTCAGCTGGAAACCCAAACAAAACCCACTGCCATCAAGTCGATTCTGACTCATAATGACCCTATGACAGTACAGAATTGTCCTATAGGGTTTCCAAGGCTGAAAATCTTTACGGAAGCAGACTGCTTCATCTTTCGTGCATGGAGCTGCTGGTGGATTCAAACCATCAATCATTTGGTAAGTAGTGATATACTTTAACCACTACATCATTACAGCTCCTTTCAGCTGAAGAACTTGCTTCCTATCCCACTGAATAAATAGGTCCTTAGGAAGAAGAGAACTTTTACAAGTTTCTGTCACTACATCTTTTCACCTACCCACAACCATTCACATGTACCTTGGCATTCATTCTCCATTCCTTACAAAATTCTTTTTCACTTGGCCCCTATGGCTCCATCTCCCCTGGTTTTACTGTTTTTTCTCTCTCTCTTTCCCATCTAAATGTGTGCTCTCAGTGATCTCATACCATATCATGGCAATTAATAAAGTTGTATGTCAACTTGGCTGGGCCTGGTTGAGTGTCCGAGCAGCTGGTAGTAGTTATTCCTCATGATGAAACTGGCAATCAACTCCATGGTGGAATCTGCCATGAGCAGCTGAGTAGCTGCCTTTAGGATGTGGTCTGCTTCCTGCATATAAGCAGCAGCTTTGGGAATGGTCTCTAGCTTATGGCATGCTTGAATCCTGCATGTAGCTGTGCCGTTGTTCAGCAGCCTGTCATGCTCTGCCAACCTTGGGACTCTTCAATGGACTTGAATTAATGGCCTGTTGTGTGGTTTGGTAACATCGGGACTGTGCCATTTTATTTGTCGACCTTGGGCTTGTTAGCCTCGGCAGCCAGTAGCTGCCTGAGTGAAGAGATGCCTCTAGCTTCAGTGGGCCGGGAGCAAGAGGCAGAGCTGAAGCCCAAGGTCGAGGGGCTTTCACACAGCCCCTAGAGCCTGGCAGTTTGAACTCAGACTTAAAGCCTTCAAACTGTGAGAAGATAAAACACCTATTTGTTCAAGCCATCCCATTAGTGGTATTTTCTTGTCAGAGCGGCACTAGATTTTCTACTTTTTTCAAACTAAAAGCCAAACCCTATACAATGGCCTATAAGTCAATACACAACCTGCCTCTGCACATCAGAACCCATTACCTATCTGACCTCATTTATAATTCTCCCATTGTCCATTCCACTCCAGCTACCACACTGGCCTTGCAGTTTCCACACACTCCTGTCTCATGGCCTTGCTGTCCTCTTTACCTGGAATGCAGTTCTAGATCTTAACACGGTTCACTCCTACATCCCCTTTAGATCTTGACCAAGGAGGTCAGGATTTCCCTGACCACCTGATATAAAACTGTCACCCTCCCCAACCCCCCCACACACATACATACACATACTCCTCGTTTCCCTGGTCTATTTTTTCCCATAGGATTTATAACTTCTAAAATACCAAATAATTTACTCACTGGTTTTGTTGATTTTGCTCCTTAGTACACAAAAATGTAAGCTCCATGATTTCTGTCTGCTTTGTTCACTGCAATATGGCATGAAAACCAACACTTCAAATAGTTGTTGAAAAAAAAAGGAGTAGGTCTCTGTGGTCATTCTACAGGGAACTAAAGTGCTGCCCTAAGTACTCAAATGTATTAAAGGCATAAAAACTGGAGCCTTAAGAAGGACTTTAGAAACTCTGTGATTCAACTTCCTCATATTTTGAAATAGGAAACTTGGCTTCAAGAATGTTAACTGACTTTCTAAAGTCAGCTGCAAAGTGTTGGAAAGAACCAAAGGTTAGTGTTCTCTCCCTTAGAGCAGGGCTATGCGAAGTGTGGTCTGCAGACTCTTGCTGGTCTGCAATAAGAGAAAAAAGAAAATAAAAAGGATAAAAAAGGATAATAAATAATTAAAACAAGAATTCAAACAACTTTCTGTTTCAAAAGAAGTGCAATTAAGTCACCGCATACTTTTATTTCGAAAATACTTCCAAGATAAAACTTTTCGTTTATGCAATTGAGTTTTATAGATAAATTCTTCACTATTCCTAAGTTCTGTATTTCTAAAAATAAGATGGATTTCTAAATGGCAAAACAAAAGATAGTTAGAAGTAACAGATACATCATGTAGCTGCAAAAATTGTTAAAGTCTGACATTTAGGTAGCACTAGATAAATGCTGGCCGAAAGGTTAGTGGTTCTAACTCACCAGCAGCTCCACAGGAGAAAAGACCTAGAGATCTGCTCCCATAAAGACTACAGCCTAGGAAACCCAATGGGACAGTTCTACTTAGTCCTATAGGGTCACTATGAGTCAGAATCAACTCATTGACTGTGGTAGTTGTGTGTCAACTTGACTGGGCCTGGTTTTGGGTGGCTGGGCAGCTGGATATAGTTTCCCCATGATGAGACTGGTAATCAAATCCATGGCAGAATGTACTGGAGCAGCTGAGTAGCTGCCTTAGGGATGTGGTCTCCTTCCAGAATATAAGCAGCAGCTTTGAGAAAGGTCTCTGAAGATTTTTGGCATGATTGGACTCTGCATGTAGCCAAGTCATTATTCAGCAGCCCTGCCATGTTTCCTGTCAATCTTGGGACTGACTCTGGAATTGAACTAGTGGCCTGCCATGTAATCTTGGACTGTGCCACTGTATATGTCAACCTTGGGTTTGTCAGCCTCAGCAGCCAGCAGTTGCCTGAGTAAAGAGACGCCTCCAGCTCCAGTGGGCTGGGAGCAAGAGACAGACCTGAAGCCCAAGGTCAAGGGACTTTCATCCAGCCCCTACAGCTTACACTTTGAACTTGGACTTCTAGCCTCCTCAACTGTAAGAGAATAAATCTCTGTTTGTTAAAACTATCCACCCAACTGTGGTATCTGCTGTTAGAGCAGCACTAGAGAATCAAAACAATGGCAAACAACAACAGATAAATAAACTAGTGAAACAAAACAGAACCCAGAATGTGTGCATGAGTGCACACACACACACACGAAAGCTAGTTCAAACTAGTGCGCAGAACTACTATGGTAACCAAGCTCCAAGTTGGCCCCAAATGATCCCTTCTTCATAATATTCACACCCTTGTATAAAGCCCTCCCACTGAATGTACGTTGGGTTAGTGACTTGTTTATAATGACCAGAATCAGGTGTGGTGGTACATGACTCAGAGAGTAGATCATAAATGGTCATGTGCAGCATCACTCTATCTTGGATCACTGGCTCTGGAAGAAGCTGTGTGTTATGGATTGAATTGTGTCCCCCAGAAAATTTGTGTTATAAATCCTAACCCCATATCTATGGTTATAATCCTATTTGGGAATGGGCTTTTTGTTATGTTCATGAAACAATATTAGTGTAGGATATGTCTTGAGTCAACATGTTTTGAGATATAAAAGGACAAATTAAGATAGAATATGTGAGGGAAGACAGATGGCACACCACATGAAGATCACCAAAGAGCCAATAACAGAAGCTGAAAAAACAAGGGCCTTCCTTGAGAGATGACAGAGAGAAAGAGCCTTTCCTAGCCCTGGTACCTGAATTCAGATTTCTAGCCTCTTAAACTGTGAGAAAATAAATTTATTCATTAAAGTAAAAATAATTAGAAAAGAAAAAACTAATAAAATGTGAGAACATTTACAAACTTTTAAAGCAGTATGATATCATTATTACTTCTATGGTACTTTACAAAAGTATTGATCCACATTGGATTAAAAATTAACAACAAACAAAACCCAAAGTGGTCTTTCAAACAACTTGAGAAGCACTACCTTGAACTATACTGCTAGGCAAATCAAATGGGTCAATATTTTCAGTCTTTGTGTAGCGCTACACAGGGCTAACATTTCCATTCAAAATAAGCTTATTTTTCTTAGCTTTCTCATTCTCACCAGCCAGTCCACAATTAAGAATAGGAATAGTTTTAGCAGCTCATAAAAACCAATAAAAGAAATTAGATGGTACTCATTGGAAATCTGTATTGCTGGAATCCACCCTGAAATAAAAAT